TGTGCAGGGGTATCTCGGTTGAAATGAATGGGAATCCAAATGAATGGGAGGTCAAATGAATTGGAGTCCAAATAAATCAATATCAGAGCTTATAGTCTTGGAACGCGTAGGCAAATACATATGGATACGTGATACATTATCAATTCACAGCCCAAAAGTTGAACTTCCCAATCATGCTCTCATGTAACATGTGCTCAGGCAACATCGGCCGCTGATGGGTGCCGAGATGCAATGCATTTGGCTGGCGACGCGGTGCCATGCCCCTTGGCAAAGAAAATGGCGCGGTGGCACAAAGGAGGACACGAAGAGCGTTCCTTTTCGAGGCATAGGGTCTATACAAAAAATCATCAGTATACCCTCCTTTGTTGGAAAGCCTTTGGTTTCAATATGTTTGAATTTTCAGGGACTACTTCATCCCTTCAGGTGGTGTGAGGATGCATGCTCATTGACTCCGGGTGAAACTGAAATTCCTTTGAATGTCACCAACTCGGAGGGCGACGAGGTTCCTATGAACTATCCGGTCAGCTGCATATGGCCATGGGACATATTGGCATGGTTGTGGAATCAGGGCCACTTCCTACAGTGGGTATGTGATGAAAAAGAAAAGGCATCTGAGAAGGTCCTAGAATATTGGCAGCATTGCTCAGATGCAGGCTTAGAATTTTTCGAGAGACTAGAGCTACCAGAGTCTCAGTGGTCTACTTGCGTTCCATTGTTTTTTCACACTGATGGTGTGAAGATTTATCGCAATCAAAAGGCGTGGATCTACTCGTACTCAAGTGGCTGTCGGAAAGGCTTGTCCACGGAGACAAAACTCGTATTTTTGTTGTTGCGCGAAGCAATGATCATCAAGGATCAATCGCATGACCAAGTCGGCGCTCTAGTTGGGTATGTGTGCAGGACTTTGATGACTGGTCGGTATCCTCACACCAACGAGCACGGTGCATCCTTTCCCAAAGGATCGCAAGAAGAGAAGCGTGCAGGCAGCTTCTTTGCCGGGGGGTGGTCTTTGGCATTTGCTGCGTTCAAGGGGGACTGGGAAGCGAGACAAACAATACACAAAAACCTGCGCTTTTACAATGCGAAGAACATATGTGAGCACTGTTTGGCATCACGGGATCCCCAGTTCACTTTCGGAGACCTCCGTATGACTGCGAATTGCATGAGCCTTCGATTTACTCATGAGCAGTATGTTATTCTACAGGGGGCCCGACTTAGTTCTTGGAGACATGTCAAGGGATGGACCAAAGACCGCAACCTTGAGGAAACCGATCTTCGTTAACAGGTTTTCCATTTTCTGTGCTCGAAGCCGATCTTCGCTGACAGTTGTTTCATGTTCTGTTAACTTGCGTGTTCGAAGCCGATCTTCGTTGACAGAGTTTTCATGTGTTTTCATTTTCTGTTTTTCACTTCCTGGTTCCACCGACCGTTACATGTTCTTCCTTGATCTGAGGATCTCTTACATGTTCTCCACCAGGGAGCTGGAACCATCCTGATAGCTGCTTTGGTCTGTGACCATTTGGAGGCTAAGCACCCTGGGCTGACACTCAAAGAGCTTGATGAACAGCTTTCCAAAGTTGTTTTCAAACACTACAAAAGGTGGTGCAAAGAGCACTCCATAACAGCTTGTTCGTTTCGATTTTCGGGAACACGGTTCGGGAGGGAGGCCTGGAACGTGTACCCAGACCTATCAAGCATTTACAAGGCGGCCGTCGTAAAAACGATGTTGTATTGGTTGGCAGCGTTTTTGAGGGACGAAGTTGGGACATTGAATGGACGACTACGGTACTCGTGCGCGAATGCCTTCGCGAAATTTCAACATCTTCTAGACGATCATCAAGCCTGGTTTACACCCTCGGAAACTCAAGAAGTTGTTGGTGCCATCCGCAAGGGCCTGGTGCTATATCAAAAACTTGCTTCACAAGACAAAAAAACGTGTTGATGGGCGGGTGTGCTACAAGATAACACCCAAGTACCACTCGCTATTGGAGCTTTCGGTGTACATCGAAAAGACCGGCCGGAATCCAAGGACCCATGACTTTGTCCAATCACACTTTTCCTTTCATCAGCATAACAATGTTTTCCACAAAGAAAAATAGATATTAACAACTTCCCATCCAGCTAGGTTCCAACTCGGTCGGTTCGAACTCAGGTTTGAACATTGTTATGCTGACGAAGATCTAATGAAAGAAGTGGGCCGCATTTGCTCTTCCACCCATCCGTTGACGATGGAACGCGTGTCGATGCGTCGATACCGCGCGCTTCTCCAGCTGTTTGTGTTCCCAATGCAGGCCAGCTGAGCCCAGCACTTCGAAGTACCCGCTGAAGCGAAAACATCCAGCGGGCCGCTATGTGTGGGTAGGGTCATGCATGCATGGTTGTCTCTAGAACATGTGTGGGTACACGTTTGAATTGAGGGCCATGCATGCCCCGAGTGCTCGGGGATATGTGTCTACAAACTGTGTTCCTGCCTTCAATCTTAGCTAGGTTCATGCACCCTTTCACCCCGCCAGCTTCGACTCCAAAGCACCGGCGGCGAGGGCGGCAGCCGGCCAAGCCCCCCCCCCAAAAAAACACAACAACAACCGACACAGGTTAGGTTTTTTTGGGGGTGTATATAAAGAAAACATATAGGATAATGATATGGGCGGAAGTTTCAATCAAGACTATAGGAGTGCTCAAGTGCAGGATGGTTGGCCATCCATTTTTATATGTGCATGCGGACCTGCAGTGTATACTTCCACGACATGGTTAGGACTGCAAGCGCGGAGCAGTATACATTCCACGACACGGCTAGGACTTCAAAGAGCTATGCAGTATACATTCCACGACATGGTTTGGACTTCAAAGGCTTATATTTTGAGCCTTCAGTTCAAAGCTTGAAAAGGCTTAAAACATAGCACTCCTGGTTGTCTAGGTTGGGTGAACCAAGACCCACGGCAGCAATATCATAATAGTTCAGCCCAAGCCGCAGGAATTCCGGATCGACCCTGTCCGTACAGCACGGCCAATAGTCCAGAACAAACGCAACCATTTACTATTTAATCATCCAATCAGAGTTTAAGCCAGGTTATCCCTCCACCACCCGGTTTCCAGAGCTTGAATCCACAGACGATCCCGATCACTGTTAAAACTCCTCAGGGATTCGTTCAAGAGTTCAGGGGACAGAATGATGAAAATCCGTTCAAGAGATCGGAACGGTGGATGCCACCTGTGCCAACCCCTCCATCTAGGATTGGAAGTCAAAGCCTGCTGAAATAGTGGTGTTCGTAATAGAATGGGTCACCTCATTGGCATCGTGGACCGGACTTGGATCAAATGTATGGACCTCTGAGATTTTGTCGGCACTTCGTGAGTGCGAGCCCTTAGGATGGCACCGCCTGACTTCAAGCCAGGTGACATGATCCGTCCGAATGATGTCTCTACTCAAGCTTTACTTCGAGAACAGTGCCAAAGCATCGTTGGTCATCCGTAATTATGAGGATGAAAAGGTGTTTAACGATGTTGTGGTTTTGAATGTCTCAAGCTTTTAGCTAAAGAGTATGCAGTGAAAGCCAGAACTAAGCTTCTTTTCTTTCGTTCGCAACTAGCCAATGCATCCATCACCGGAAAGTCAGTTCCCGAAGCTGCGAGAAAGGTACAATCTGAATTGTACCAGTCCGAAAGTGTGTCTCAGCCTGTCGGCTCAGCAATAAATGTCCGAGGACTAGGGTTCTAAGAGGGCAATAAGGTTCTGTTGATTTTGAGGTCTTTGCCCAACCAATGCCGTCAGTTGGTTGTTCTCTGTGCCATGGTTGAACGCTTCGATGCGTATCTAGAAGTCGCACTTCGTTACGAATCGTAGCAAAGGATCTGGACTGAGATCCATGGCCGGCCGATTGCAACCCTCGGAGATCAGCAGGGACAGTTTGTCCCGAAAGGCAAAGAAGGGAAGACTCAAGAGAACACAGGAAAGGGAAAAGGAATTGGAAATAGCAGTGAGTTTAGAACACGTTTTCATTGCAACCAATGAGGTTACCTTACTGCCGATTGGCCCAACAAGAGTCGCTTCAAGTCAAAAGGTCAACCCAATTCCAAAGGATCAAACAAGGGTGATGGAAAAGGAAAGGAAGGAAGGTCATCCAACAAAGGTGAAAGGAAAATTCAAGGGGTAAAGAGCAACTGAATTCCAGCTACAATCAGAGTCCAAGGTAGGATGTGAATGGTCTGAGCCGGATGTTAAGGATGGAGGTCGTTTCTCCGCACTCCATAGTTTAGATGTTGCCCAGCCATTTTTCATGTGTCAGAACATGCAAAGTGCAGATCCCTGTCTTTGGTTGGTTGATCCTAGTGGAAGCCACAGAGTGATATCCCTTGAGTTCAACCTATGAGGTATTTTGTGAACGCACATTAGCAATTCCTATCCAGTTTCGTACCGCCTCAGGGGAACAGGTTCAGATCGATCCTGAATGTATGCTCGAAGTCAATTTTCCAACCACCATTAAGAACGATGAATGTGATCGAGACGAGTTAGTCAAGTGCGAGATTCGAGCCGTCATCGATCCAGTCAAGCATAACCTCCTGAGCGTTTGCCGTTTGACTAAGCTCGGTGCGACGTTCATGTTTGAGCCTGACCAATGTCACATCCGAAGTAGTGACATCAGGCGCCTGGATTACGAGATCTGGGCAAATGTACCTTGGAGCCGAGCGCAGCAGCGCAAGCCTCGTGGAAAAGATCAGGATGTGGACATGAAAGGGAAATTGACAGTGGACACTTGGACCAGTGATGATTTGGACGACTGTGAAACGAGCTTTTTCAGTATAGTTCAGTAATAAACCACTGTGTGAAACCTCAAAGGATGAAAGCTCGGATGGTCAGATACCGTCCAGTCCGCATAGAAAGAGTACGAAAGTGTCGTTTTTCCTCTCTGACACCCATCCAAAAGGGTCCATGAACCATGGTACGTAACTAGATTATGTGAAGGTTTTGAGGTTTGAAGATCACCTTGCGATCAACAACGTTAGAGGTTGAGCCGAGAGCCGCTGAGCCCAATCACCGTGACACCAGTCAAGATCATGGCTTTCTCAGTTCTGCCGACCATCCATTGACCGCTCCAGGTGATCTTGAAGATGTGGTCGAAAGGCCACATGATGACCAAGAGCCTTGTCCGCCGAGTGAAGTCACCAGGGATTCAGAATTCTCGAGGGAGTTGGGTCGTGGACTGTCGTTGCATCGTCGATATGAGCATATTCCATTCGACAGCCGATGTGTTTACTGCATCAAAATTAGGTCCACATTGCCTCATGGACGAGTAGATAAGTCAAAGCAGAGCCTCGTAGCACACCTGTTGACCATCATACGATGTTGATCCAAGTAGATTTTTCCCGTTTGAAAGGAAGCAAGTTCAGTTTGCTCGTCAATGCCGGAACTGGATTGCTTAAAATTCGTTTGTGCAGTCACAACTAAGATCGAATGTTAGCTGATTGCCGACAGTGTTTCCAACAACTTGGCGTTTCAGATGAGTCATTCCAATCAGTTTGAACGACAGCTTGATTGACCGGCTGTTGAGACGACGTGGTCTACCACTTCAGGTAAAGTCTGCCGCGCGTCATGTCCTCGAAAGCATTAGCATCGCCGAGAGGAACGTGCGGAAGGTGAAGGAAATGATGGGGTGTCTCAGAAGTGATCTCCGTCTGCGCCGGATTGACATCAGTGGAACGCCAGAAAGTTTCAGTCGATTGGTTCGGTATGTAACCCAAACGCACAACCACTTCGGTGCTGGGGAACTGTACACTGTAGGTCAAATCAGCAGGACTTGAAATCGTCGTACACCTATCGAGTAATAGTTGAACAAAGACAAATCCAAAGCTGTACCAACCATGTTCGGAAGCGTAGGTCAAGCCCAAACTTCTGATTCGTTGTTCGAATTGATCCCCGGAAGAGCAAGATTAATTCCAGCAGCATATTTGCCTGTAAAGTCTAACTGTTTAGCCCATGTCGTGTCGAGCCGTATTCAAAGGGGAGAAGATCCTCTGGGATCCAAGCCTCGTTCCAAGCATCCTCACGGAGGTTAGCAAGCCTGATCAGCAACCTGTTTTGGAAGACCGTGAGAAAGCTGTCAGGCCGTTGGACGACAAGGCCACTTTCGCTATCAGCAGAAGAGATCACTTGTGAATCCGAGTGAAATGCCTGCCGGTGCGATTGATCATCCAATGGAATCAGGTGACATGGAATGTACCATTTCTGAACCGCCACAAGCTGGTGATGTCGACATGATTGAAGACCCAGATTTGCCCGTGCCACCTGATCCAAGCAAGATGCCTATGGCCATTTCTCAACTTGTTGCGAAGTTGTCTGAGCCGCCAGAAATGCCGTATCGCCGACCATTCACTGGGAATGGAGTGATTTGTTCCGTTTGGATTCCTCATAAAACTGCAGGTCCACTCCAGACAAAGTCAATACAAGTCTGTGGAATGAAGATTTTCTTTGTTAAGTCGACTTCAGGATTGTCGAAGGATCGTGTGACGCACTTCACTCCAAGCCTTGTACGCAAAGGTCGTTAGATTGAGTTCGAAGCACTGGATGCTTTGTAGGTTGGACACCCAATGCGTGGCAATGAAGCAACCGAACTTGCCAATCCACTTGGAATTCGCATCATCCCATGCCGTTGGGCGCTGACCGAAAAGACCGTGAACGTCGTTGCAAGACCAGGCCACGCTCGATGCGTAGCACATGAGAGCGCCAGTGAAAGAGCCTATACATAAGTTCTTGAAAATTCAAGTACAACTTCAAGTGTGGAAGCATTTCGTTCTTTCTTGAGCGTGATCACTATCTGTAGTATGCATCTAGCAGGTCTTGATATCTCGACAGCGTTTCTCAACGGCCACTTGCCACAGAGTACTAGGGCGATCGTGTGTCTCCTCGTTGACTGTTCACACACATTATGCGAGTGTCTATTTGGATCTCGAATGAGCTACGCATAGCTTTCAGCAACTGGCTTCAAACGTGCACTCGCCTGCTCACCGATAAAGTGAATTTGGTCATGTACGTGTCAAAACCCAAAAGCGTGTGTGGAGTGCACAAATCTCCCAATGGTCCAGTGACCGTGATGATCTACGTTGATGACTTGCTTACTGGGTCGATTGTAACTAGAGAAATAGACAATGTCAGAGATGTACTTCAGGAAATCCTCAAGGTCAAGACCACTGAGATGTTGACGAATGCCAATGAAGCAGGAAGAACGATTGTTTTCCTCAGTCATCACCTCATCCAGCGAGCTGGAACGAGCGACTGTTGAGGGTGCTACCAGGGTGCATCGAGGAGCGCTTCACGAACGATCCTTATTGTTGTGAGTTGAAGCCTGCGGACAAGCCCCCTTAGCTGTTCAGAATACTTGAAGCTGATGTGAAAGATCCCAAGCTTTTGAACTCTTGTCCGATGTAGCTGCAACAAGATACAAAAGGATCATAGGTAAGTTGTCATAATCGGGACGATCCCAATCAGATCAAGTTCGCTTCCTGTCTGTTGTGGGAACTGGTCAAGCAACACTGAGAAGTACCTGAGAATGTGTTGTGTAGGTATCTCTGATATGTCCGAGGTCCCACATGTGAAGCAGAAATCGTTGCTGTTTGCAAAAGTGTTTAAGGTCCGCCATGTGCCAGAATTCCTAGAAAGTTTTGGAGATCACAACGTGTTGTTGAAGACTTCAAGTAAGGGGTTTCCAAAGTTGAAGTTCGATGAGATTCACAATCTTGGCGACCAATACTCCATTGTGATTATCACTGGTTTGCAAGCATGTATTAAAGTTTTGAACGAACAAAGGTTAAGCTGTAGAGTACACCACACGTCGATTGCTGTGTGTTATATTTAAGCATTGAAAGATTGTGGTAACCTCACAGTAGAATGGTTTCCAGGTAGCATATGCACAGCCGAACTGTTGACGAAAGTGCTGTCTGTTGAAATGAACAATTTCCATCGAAGTCAAATTGGGATTTCGGAAATTGTAGGCCAAAGAGAATGGCAGTTGGTAGATAACAAGGAGCTCAAAAGAAAAGGAACGAAGTCTGACGAACAGACTTTAGGTGTCAAGGATGAAATCCCAAGCGCGGAAGACCTTGCGACTTTTTCGGCAAAGAGAGGTTTGTCAGTTGAAGGTCTTGTAAGTTTTGAGAATCTGCTTCAGCGTGTTGGCATCAAAGTCCAGGCCGGAACAGTGACACAACTGATTCAACTGATGGTCTATCTCAGAGGGTTGTTCCAACCAGGTCACGTTCTTGTGCTGTTATCCCTGTTACGAAAAGCATTGATCTGCACTGTGTTTCAAAGGTTTTAGTTTCATGGATTGTGTGTTTGAAAGGACTACAACCTGGAGTCATGTTCTTGAGATGGATTTCCCCTTCCTTGCAAGGGAGGATCACCGGTCCTGCATTTGACCCTGACAGCCACGCCGCGGAGAGATTCAATTTGAGCATCATTAAGAGTTTGAGGACATAATACTTCAATGCCATTAGGTGAGGAGTGTTTGCCAAAGCCAGAGTCCTCGAAATTTCCCAAAGGTGCTCATGTTGGAAAGCTGAATCGGTCAAGTCATTCTGCCGAGTTCATGAGATGAGATTCATCCAGGACATCGCACGATGCGCATAGGTGAATGAAAAGGTGCCAATGCTAGACCAACATGGTTTGGTCAACAGCCGATCGTCGTTTACGCCTAAGGAGCACAATTGTAAGGACCATAGGTCGTTGAACGAACAACACCTGTCATTGCTTGGAGAATACCCCAAGAAGTTGGATCCTGCAGTTGTGAAATGGTTCGTGAACCAACAACACTAGGTAAGAGTGAAGATAGATTTAATTAAGTCACGTGATGAATGCAAGCAAGTGTAATCTCTGCATCGATGGAAACCCACAAGAGTGGAATAAATTCACTGGCATATGCATGAAGTTTCAACAGTGTTTAAGTGCTATGCTCACTAAGTGACCATAATTTTTTGTCTTGCACCTCCTCAGATCGTTGCAATGGCACCAAAAGTCCCGAAGGTTGTCATCACGATCGACTCTGACAGTCCAACTGAAGTGACTGTCAAGGTCGGTTCGAGCAAGTCTTCGACTGGTGGGACTGAGATCAATGAGGGGAGCAGGATTGCAAGCAATTCAGGTGTCCAGGACAAGAATGAGAGCAAGACCGACGTGAGCTCGCCATACCCTCACAGTGGATCCTCCAAGGGCAAAATGTCCCAAGGTGAGATTCCCCTTACACCCCGAAAGCCCAATGCTGGCAATGACGATTGGGACAAAGCGTCCATGGTCGTTGATCAGGATGAAGGCCCTCACCAACCAGATCATCCACCTCCGGGTTGGTCGTCACCCCGCGCGCCAACGGATTCGCCGCCAAGCCCAAAGAGTCCATTGGAACCGCCTCCATGGAAAGCTGTATCAGGTTCAGAAGCTGCCACAGACCCATCTTCGAGCACCCCGGAACAGATGATTCCTGCTGGTGAGAGTTTGTGCATGACCCGAAAGGCTGGTCGTGTATATCATAAGAGGGAATGTGGGATCCTGAAGCACAAGAATGATGACGAGCTGATCATGGATTTGGCCTTTTGCGAGATTTGTGCAGTTGGAATGCCCCAAAAGCAGACCCAGCGATTCGCGATCTCCGCAACTGATGTTCCAAGGAAGCTGCATTATGTCTGGCCTGATGGTTCGACACGATGCCGGGTCGGTGGCATCCAGGTGACCGGATGTTACCAATGCATCTGGCGATAGGGATCCAAAGGGTCAAGAGGCAAGAGCTTGAAGAAATAACCTACTATGTCAATAAGTACTTGGGTTAAAGCTGCTCCATGTTGCACATGTTTGCCGCAGCAGTTTTGTGTTTTGAGCCTTGCTATCCAAGCCGACGCCGGAAATGCCTCATGATCCACGAGAGATCATTTGTTCCAGGACACCTCTAAAAGCCGTGAAGGCCGTTTTGCATGACATGTAAAGAAAGTTTTGGAAAGTGTGTTGAAAATCGACTTGCTACTCAACTCGTTCGCCCAACCTAACAAGTGCATAAAAGTCTCCAGCCTATGTACTAGCATGAGTTTGGCCAACGGTTGATGCAAGATCCTGGAATCCCATGTGGCCTATATATGGGATGATATAAATCAAGTGATCACCACTGCTCTACTATATGGTTGTGGGGGGGTGTGAAATATACCCTGAGCAACCAATAGGACAACCGCATTTCGTTTCGTTCGATCACTTGAACCAAGCAGTTGGTCGCGGTTGCACACACCGCTTTTGGCCGTCGTGCGCTCCGGCGCACAAATCGGGAAGTGTACCACAAAGGTACTCGACTGCCACATACTGTGGCTCAAGCCACACACCGTGGCTCAAGGCGAAGTGAAAAGACGCAGCTTCGCGTGGGATCGGTGGGCCGCGTGTCGACTTTCGCAGTCGAGCACAACTCGAGAAGTGTACATCACTTACTTTTCATTTTGTTGTGTTGACATTTTAGTTGAACTCTAAAAGGTGTGAGTTCTCATAGCTGCTGGTGGTGGTGGTGGTGGTGGTGATGGTGGTGACATTTCCTGCATAATTTTCACGCAGTGGCCACCTTCCTGCCTGGATTTCACTGTGGCTACTTCCCTGCCTGGCCTCAGCGTGGTATCTGGTTTCCTGCCTGGTTTTTGTGGGGCTGGCGATGCATCCCCCTACACTTTCCCAGGCCTATGCTTGCCAACTCAAATACTGTATATAATCAACCCTCCTCCAGAGGCCAACCCCCTGAAAGAAATTCCCTTGCCTGGTTTTCAGTGTGGTGGCTACTTTCATACCTGGTTTTTGTGGGGTTGGTGGTGCATCCTCCTACAGTTCCCTGGCCACTAAGAGCAAAAGTACACCTTTTCAGTGCAATAAACAAACGATAATATATATATATATAACTATAAACACAAACTATAGATTCCCCGTGATGTTAAGTACATCTACCATCTATCTACAAACAAATGTTACCAACACATGTTCTTCACGCATACACTCGTGTTTGGTGGTGATGGTGGTGGTGGCGGCGGCGGTGGTGATGGGGTGGTGGCAGCGGGAGCGGCAGTGGCAGCGGTGGTGGTGGCGGCGGTGGCGGTGGTGGTGGTGGCGGCGGAGATGATTGTGGGGATGATGGTGGTCGTAATGATGGTGGTGTTGTTGGTGGGGATGATGGTGGTGATGACGGTGGTGGGTGGTGATGAAGGTGGTGATGGTGATCAAGGTGGTGGTGGTGATGGTGATGGTTGTGACGATGGTGGTGGTGGTGATGGTGGTGATGATGATGCTGATGGTGGCGATGGTGGTGGTAATATATGTTTTTGAAAAATATATAAACACCTGACCTACCAACTGTTTTTTGATACCCTTTCCCCTCAAGAAATGTATAAAATGTTTGTTTGGGGTGCCCCCTGCCCCCCTGCCCCTCACAAAACCCCATCCGTTAATCCAAACATCGCAGCTCGCTGGCTGCTTTCCTGCCTGGTTTTCGTGGGGCTGGCCACTTTCCTGCCTGGATTTTACTGCGGTGGTGGCTACTTACCTGCCTCGTGCTTTCCTGCCTGGCTTTTGTGGGACTGGTGATGTCTTCGTACACCCTCCCACGCCTATGCTGGCCAACGACACTCATCTATCCCTCCTCCAGGGGCCAACATGCTTTCCTGCCTGGTTTGTGTAGGACTGGTGATGCGGCCCCCTTACACTTTCCCAGGCCACGAAAAGCAAAAGCACACTTTTTGAATGCAATAGAGACAGATACACGAGATATAAGCGCAAAATATAGATCCCCGTGATGTTGGTACCTCAAGTACACCTATCACCTATCTACAAACAAATGTTACCAACACATGTTCTTCACTCATCCACTCGTGTTTGAACACCAGTAAGTTGATGGCCTGGCCTAACTCATCTGGATTGTTGTTGTTGTTGTTGTTGTTAACTGAGGGGTGTGCAACCTCTCCATCCACTGGGTATGTGCAATTTATTTCTTTATCCGACTCAAGGCCGTACCGAAATGGTCGACAAGTTGCCGCGTCAGAAGCATTTATAATGGAAACATATGGGAACAAATAATTCGTTAGACCCCCTTTCCAATTATGTGTTTAAGTGGAGGGGGTCATCACAAACCAGGTGCAGGTTTAGAGGTCCAGAGTTCTGAGGTAGAGGTGGAGAGAGATGTCTGAGCACATGCAAGGTCCACAAAATACTGCGCCTGCCACGAAACCGTCTGGCCTTTTCATTACAATACATTGAATCCCCTCGAGATCTTCGAAGTGCATTTCGACTGCGCAGGCTCGCAGAATCTGGTGGGTTGGCGTGGGTGCTCTTCGAGACCACGCTCTCGTTGTGGTGCCATGCGCGTTTTGGGCCTTGGTGATCACTTTTCCTCGTGTTTTGGTGGAGTCGACTTTTCGTGACAGGTGGAGGAGACGGAGCGGCTTTATGTCGATGTACAGATTTCGCGGCAGGTGCAGTGAGTCGTGACTGTTGGACATGTGGCTCGTTTTCAGAAATCGGAGGAAGTCTCGAGAAAGCTGCGCTTTGGCATCCGGATGTTGTCTTTGGAAGTGCTCTTGCTGCGAATCGCCTTGGCAGGGCTGCGCAATGTGGCGCGCGCAGCACTTTGTGCACCTTGAAGTGCCTATTTTGTGGCAGGCGCATGGACCTTGAAGTGCTGATTTCGTAAGAACCCCTAGTGTTACACACACTGATTGAAAAAAAACGATTAAAGACGCCGTTACGCAGTGTTCCAATTCCTTCCCAAGACATCCAACCTTAGCGAAGACTTTGGCCCACAATCGTAGAGAAAGTCCTGAAATGCAGTCACAAAACAGTGAAACTCCAGGATTATCTGTCCAAAACATGGGAGAAGTCTCTTGACGTTTGTCCAAAGCTTGACTTCTTCTCAAGTCCTTCAAGTCATCCAACTCCATACGAGGCATGTCATGTGACTTTGAACAAGGCACAGTTGAACTCTTTTGCGCGTCTGTTGCAAGTTCTTCGTAGAATACATTAGAATACCTCAGAGTGGTGGGCAACATACCGAAAATGGATGAGAAAGCATTTTTCTGCTTTCACATACCATCATTGTCTGCTCACACATATCAATTTCATTCGAACATATAAGCTCACAGCAATTTTACCCGGAGGCTTTGAACAACAACTGTAACACATGCAACGTCTTTATGCAAAACATTGCAAAACTATTTGCATCAATTTTATATTATACACACAACACTCCTTTGACAAGGGTCATGATGAACGTCACTTTCGCCTTTCGCAAACCCTTTGTCTTTTGCATTCTCGTTTTTACAGGTCTCCTGGACATTACAGTAAGTCCCTTCATAAGTTCTTACCATGTATATACAAGGCTTTTAACGCTGAAAGGCAGTCGAGCCCTTTCGACTCGATATATCAGGAGAATTGTGTCCCCACTGTGTCGCCCAAATGCCCACCATGAAACATATCTGCGTGCCTCCCAAGTCAGCTTGGAAGGTGTACCTTTGCTCACCTAGCATCATCTTCTCCGATCCAATCTTAAAGTCATGGCATGATCAGTTCTCTTGCTAGCTCTGCAAAGGACCAAGTACAGGTTCGAGGTGCACGCAAATCATCAACCATCGTCGTACCAAGACAAGGCGTTGCAAGCTCCAACTCTCTCAAAAATTCCTATCCCCAAACCTCCGGCGATGCCCCATTGACGTGCACGAAGGAGCCTTAACACGCTATGCCCCCAAAGAGCTTCTTGCAATGTTGCAAACATAATGATTATATACAGTGTATATGTCAACGCTCAGGTGCCAACGCAAGCAATAAACAGCCACAATCGTGAACAAAAGACCCAAGAATATGATGACCTCAGTCAGCGAATGTTTCTTGTCAAGCAGCCAGTCCAGTCTAGGCTCCCAGTAGTGGTACTCCGACATAAATAGACATTGAAAACACTATTGCATATATATATATATAAATACACATATTAAGGGCTTAAACATATCCTGTTGAACCTTATTGTTTCTTTTGCTGAATAGAACCGCGGAACCGTGCAATGCAAATAGAATATGGTTGATTTTGTTTATGATGTTTATCGTCGTTTCATATTCGGTGTGTGTGAAGACATGCGAAGACATAGGAAGGACTGAGAATCCAAGTACCACAAACACCTGTGTCTGACTGTAAATGATTGGTTTGTCAAATGCAAATAGTTATATAAGCATCATAAACTATCATACATATTACATATCATATTCTATCTAACTAGCCCAGGCATTTTGTCAAGCAGCACATAGAATATGTATGAATGATATGTGACTAATTGTTAATTAGCTTTTGGGAATTACTTCACATTCTATCTGATGCCCCAACGCTATAAGCTAGCTATGGAAAACCACAGGCTTTTGCCAGGACAAATCTGTGCCCAACAATCATGGTCCGAAACTAATTCTTGTCCAAAGGGCATATTTTCGTGCCAGGACCACCGCACAATTGCCCACCTTGATGCTACACACCTGACCGACGGGTGGGCTCAAAGCACACAACTTGCGTTCTGGCTCGGTGACCAAAACACTTGGACGACTATCAGCTGATGAAGGCTGATGATGTGGATAGTTGACATCAGCCAACAAAGGTCTTTCACTCAGCCATCTTGCAAACCAGCCTCTGTCCGAAATGTGGGCAGCGAAATCCTTGACTTTCGGGCAATCACGTTGAGGCAGCGTGGGCCTTGGGGTGTCGCTTTCGAGCTGCCTCTGCAGGCGCTTTGACACGTCGGAGTTGCAACAACCCCATATATGCCGAGCGAAATAGCCCTCTTCAGCAGGCCAGGGGTGTGTGCTCCAAGGGCCACACAATGATGCACCACGTCCTGCAATTTGTGATGAACTGTGATTATATATATATACTGATTACCAACTTGAATCTCTGATTCCCTAACTTTCTTGAGCAAAAGACATCTTCTTAACGCCTTCCAAGGATTTGCTTGTCAACGTAAAGCTTTTGACTTTTGCAAAATGTCTGGAAGATCTATTTTCAGCTGAGAAAAAACCATTGGTCAGCCAACTCACACCATTGGTCAACCAAATTGGTGCCTTGAAGGCAGGCCAAAGCAGTGGCAAGACCCAAAAGGCCATCCACCCCAGGCTGAACCAAACCACAATGGCCAAAAGCCTGGGAAACAACGGCAGAACCCCTGGGAAGGCGTTCACCTACGGCGTTCAAAAAAAGGCCGATGTTTATACGGGGCCAAGAAAAGATGGTGTACAAAACGGACAAGAAAGTGGAAGACCAAACCAAATGAGAGAAAACCACATCGTTGCAGCAAATGACTCGCAGACTTCATAGACTTGAACTCAGCAATGTTCACATGCGGCACATGCGGCTCACACATCCCACAATCATCTCTCAGCGTCAGACCAAGTCACCCATGAAGCTTCATAGTCAATGAAAGTGACCTAAATACAGTAAATGTGAGGTGTGAAGCATGCACATGGAATTTGCTCCGCCAATGACTTAAACATCATTCTGGAGATGGGTCAAAAACAACGGCCTTATAATATATTATCTTGTAATATGTCGGGTTCTTGGACCATTGGCACACCGAGGGCCTTTTTGTCAACTCTCTCAAATCAAGTGCTTTCATATTTCAGATCTTCAAACCTTGTTCTATGCCTGGATGTTAAACGTTTCCCATGTTCACTTTACGGTATACCTTGTCACAAGAAAGGGGCACAAGACCGTATAAACACAATTCCGAGGTGCATAGCATATGGACATCATAGGTAGGACGCGCCCTCTGTGATCGACAACACACCGCCCAGCTGCTCTCGGCTGCTCAGCTTCAAACAACCGCTCGCTCACAATGCGGGCAGGTGCATCTCTCTGGCCTCAGCTTCAGCGAAGGTCACCACCTAGTGAGCTAGTGTTGGACGTCGAAGTGATTCCAGGAGGGGCTGCCTGGCTGCCTTTGTGAAGTGTCGCAAGGACAAACAAATACAAAACATGATGAAGCTAGCACGAACAGCCATAAACCAACCCATCTGGCCCCAAGGTCGACCTGATTCTTGTCGACAGCAGTTGACCACGGCCTGGACCCTAACAATGCTCGAACCAAAAACATGAGACTGGAGAGACACGATACTTTTGGGTTCTTAGTGAGTTGGTGTTTGGCATGGCGGCTACAAGGTCTCACAAATGGATTGTTATCTCACCCATGACATGATATCAAAAATATCCGGAAGGTATATATTGTAAAGACACGCGCACCACACACACAAATCCAAGGGCTTTCGTCAAAGAAATTGGCTGCTGCAACCTGGTCATGCATGCGTTCAGCGGGCTTCCGTGCATATCGCCAAAGTTCAAGCCTTCATTGGGATCATCGCGGGCCTGTTGTTTCAGAGAGGACAAAACACTGCGGGAGTTTGACGAGGTTGTCATTATCTGTGCGACGGCATTTATTTGGTACTTAGCTCAAATACTATCTCTTATGTGGGGCCCTATCTCGTTTAGACTACTTAAGCAGGAGGTCATATCGAAGTATCTTGTTCAGACTACTTTAGTAGCGGATCACACTATCTCGTTCAGACAACTTTAGTGACATCAAGCAATAGTATCTCGTTTATGTGTGGGCCCTATCTCGTTCACAAGCGAATACTGATGACCGACAAGCAAATAGAGCATGTCATAGACAGCTTTAGTAAAGCCTAAATAAAGGTGGTTGCTCATCTAGCAACGGAGAACTGAACAAATGAGAAAAATGGTTACAAGAATTGCATGAAAGACAACCAGCTGAAACAGCTCTTATCCTCAAACTTGAGCTTACTTCACAGCCTCAGTGCTGAACTCGATGAGAGGCCCACTGCCACCTCCAGAGTCCACCTTCTTCGGCCTGGGGAGCTTACGATCGCATTCACCCACTTCTTCACTTCAACGCCTGAACAGCTTTCTCAGCTGCCCACAACTCCGGAACAGGGTACTGACCTCAGCATGGGACATAAACTACTGAGGCATAAAGCAAACGATGAGACATTCAGCGCTTGCTTCCTTTCGTGGTCATAAAACTCAGAAATACAGTACTCTTTACATTGATTCTGGGGCATGCCTCTTTGAGGGGCATCTCGTTCTAACGGCATTCTTGAGGAAACCATGGTATGAAAAACCTCATGCATGAAGGTGCTCTCCTTTAAGGGATCCATCTCGTTTTGCAAGAACTCTGTTGCCATGCCACTCAACATACTACAAGTGTTGAATGAATGTCTGCAGTTGCTCCTATCAGTGTGATATTATGTGACCATTATGATCCTCCAGTCGTTGGAGAGCTTGGCGGTTGCTTCACCAACGCCTTCGCCGCCGCTGAGGCCTTGGCTTTTGCTGTCGACTTCAGCCTCTTTGGCCTCACATTGAGCCAGGAAACCCACAAAAAATGCAAAAACATTGAATTTCTGTGGACACCCTTGGGAAAAACTATGATATGCCATGCATGTACTTCACATGCACAATCCTACATTGACTTTTGGCTCCGAACCTCTGGAGGATTGGGAAAAATACTTTAGGGCAAGATGTTCTTCCTGCGTTTGAGGAGTGGATGCAAACGACTCAATGAATGCAGCTCAAAAATATCTATCTCCTGAAGGCCGCTCGAGACTTTCAATGCCCGTAATTGCCAAAATATGCGGGTCCCAAAGTTTGTGTGAAAGAAATGGGCCTACATGCTTGTATAGAGTCAAACTTATCCATGTGTATTTTCGTCATTATTCGATAACGCATTTGTAAAACTTTGCAAATATTTCTCAGGATCTAAGGCCCAAAGGTGTTGTTGGAATCTGCCTTGGATTTGGGGCGAGGAAGCTGGGTGACTTGGTCTTTCGAAGTGGCAGAAACAGATTCAGAAAATTACCCTCAGTATCCCTCAGTCGGTGATCTGACTGGTCTGACTGGGCGAGACGATGCAGTCGTTTTTTTTTCTCTCATGTTCTCTCTCTCTCTCTCTTTCTCTCCCAGGCGCGTTTAAATCGACGACTTACTTGTTTAGCCAGAGTTTGTTGTTGGGGCTTGTTGACGCAGTGAGCTTTTCACTCTGTAGCCCGGAAGGCTCAAGGCCTTGATGTAGTACGGCAACAGTAGCCAGTCAGTATCTCATGTGTACAGATACCTCCTGTAGAGCCTGTAGAGCATTCTTGACATGCACCCTCAGCTTGTCAGTTTCCTCCCATGATAGGCTTGTATTCTGTTGTAGGTACGGAAGTTGGTGCACTCATTGCTGTGTAGCCTCCATTGTCCTTGATCACCTAAAACGTCATACAATAGTGATCAAAATGCTGTTGTTCAGCTTCCAACTTCCAAGTAGAAAAGATTCTGAAAGAATAGTAGTCCTGCATTGAAGTCATGTCGATGTACAGAGTGAAGGTCTGTCTGATGCCAAATTCAAGGTGTATCCTCGATGAAGTAGTCTCGTCACTGACAAGACGGGATACTTCACGTCACATACGTAGAAGGAATCGCTGAGTGTTGGCCATTACATCTTGCTGTAGACCTCGATGGGGTCACCCTGTCACCGTGTAGAGTTGTGGAGTACTAGCACCACCCTCCTCAAGAGGGAATTGAAGCAAGTAGCCTTTTGGGCAAACATGTGTAGCTGCCCCTGCGTCCACCGTGATGTAATCCCATCCATCCTTAGAAGGGATTGCTGTAGCTGTTGTTGATGCCTTTATTGTTGCTGGCTGTTCTGATCGTAGTGTTCTACTGTTCCCTTTGGGCAAAGTAAATCATCTTCCTGTAGGTGCATGCCCATGCATGCCCAAAGTAAATCATCTTCTCACGGTTCCACTTTGGTAGGTGATTACTGGCTGCTGGTGCTCTTTTGTAACGTTGACAGTTGCTGTGTTTAGAGTAGTGCCAACTGTGTGTTGTAGTAGGATGCCTGATGAGTGTCACCATTGTACGGGTCTGATGCCTGCCATCTTTCATCGCAGTAGCCATTCCACCAATCATCTCCTTGGACATGTCCGTAGTCATCTGCTTGACACGGCAATCTCTAACGTACCGTCCAGGTCTGCCACATTTGTAGCATATATTTCCCGATCCTTTGACAGTAGATCCTTTGCCTTTTACCGTTATCTCGTGTAGGGAATAGGCTTGCCTTTCCATTTCCTACGTAGTCTCCTTTGTTGCTCTTTCCTTTGCCTTTGTAGCTGCCATAGCCCTTTCCTTTGTAGTTCTTGCCTTTGCTCTTTCCTTTGGATTTTTTCCCTTTGTTGTAGTTTCCAATGTTCATAGGTCGCGACCCATTGTATGTAGTGCTGCTGCTTGCTGGTGCTGTCTGCATTGCTCGAGTCTTCTGTAGGTTTGAGTTGGCCCTGTAGAATTCCACAACGATGTTTATGATTTCACTGTATCGTGTGATGGATCCTGCTCTGAGTTGCAGGTGTTGTTGCAGTGCGCCAGAAGTCTCATTCAATAGAATGGCAATTTTGATTGACTCTGGTAGTGCTGATGTGTGATCTTGTTCGTGACATGCTACATCTTATTCCCATTGTAAGAAGGTTTCCTCAAGCCGCTGTTTGAGTAGCGATGTCAAGTAGCCAATGCTCCTTGTACCAATTGGGGTGTAGAACCTCTGGTCCAAATTTCTGTAGGTTTCAAGCCCGCGGCCTTCGCGGCCTTCGCCCACAGAATTTCTTCTAACAGTACAAACGCTGATGAGGATGAAGTGTAGACCCTTGGCCATCTGCAGCCATTGGTCTTTCGCTTCATCTGTAGAGGTACTGAGCTCAAATCCAAGTCAGTAAGTACAGCTGTTGCATCTTCTGCAGCTAGGATAGGTTTGGCGTAGTCGCGGTTGTGTAGTCGCGGTGTTGTAGGCACAGGTAGGCCTTCAAAAGTTGACTCCATTCTTCCCATTGTGTGTATATAGTCCCCACTGTATGTTGGTGCTATCTTGTAGCAATGTATCTGTCTTTCGATGCCTGTACCGGCTGTATCCGATGTAGGTGCTGCACCGTTTGCTGTTGCAGTGGGTGCTGAGGCTGTTGCCATGTTCTGTAGTCTGTCGACGCTTGCTCTGCTTGTAGTGAGTGCGCAGTGGTTGATGTAGCTGGAGCCGAAGCTCCGGCTCCGCTACCACGCTAAAATCGAGGACTAGTTGGGGCTTGTAGACGCACTCAGCTTTTCACTCAGTAGGCCGAAAGGCTCAAGGCCTTGATGTAGTATGGCAACAGTAGCCAATCAGTATCTCATGTGTAGAGATACCTCCTGTAGAGCCTGCAGAGCATTCTTAACAAGGCGGGCCAGTGGGCACTTGATCGAGCAATCGTTTCTGACATATGTGATACACCTTGTGCATAATGGATACATCTCCAAGGGTCGATGATGGTCATTAAACTGCTAAATAGGCTGTGTTGCAATGTAAAGTGCTTTGAAGCTGGTGAGATTCCATGGAGTTGGCTGCTGGTCTGCTCATGACTTCGATTCTGTGTGTTATGCATCATCGCTACTTGCTGCTCTCTGCTCCTTGCTTTTCCACCCTCAGCGTTGCTGTAAGGTACTGTGTACGGTACTGTAGTTGCTCGGAAGCTGAATAACTGTTGCAATTGCTTGGAAAGCATATCGGAACGTCGGGCACAGTGCGAAGATGTGCAAAGACTCTTGGAAGAACTGAGCAGTGTGTCGTAAAGGTGACATGACATGCACATCGATTGCAGCACCGCACCTTACGGCGCTCTCGATCTTGCCCTTCATGACGCATCTTTCACGTCAAAAAGCAAGGGGTAAGCCACACCCACCCACAAGTGCTTGCTGGCCGTAGGACTGACAGCAGTCAATCATGATACAGTAAAGCTTCATGACTGCTGTGTGGATGGCAGTGTAGCTCTTTCACCTGAAGCATGATCTGACATATGAGTTCATGTATCAAATGAATGTATCTCTTGAGTCAAAAAACCTGCAGATCAAGCACGTAGCGCACATCTGGAGCGCTCTTTTCGGTTTTCTGATACTTTGTACATCTTTGTACTTCTTGAATCAAGGAAGCACAAACTGATGTAAGCTCAACACACCAAGCGGATGCAACTGTGCAAAGCGCTGCAATAAAGATCGGCTTCTAATCTCTACAAACTGGTTCATTCATGTTCACTCTTCTTTTTCTTCTAATGACTTGAATCACCAGAGGTGGTCTTGCGAATTCGAGCCGTGGCTGACGTCCCTGTGCGCTGGTCCCTCGGAAAAAGATAGAACACCGATTGGAAAACAAGTTCATCGGTCCAACCAGTCTCAAGAGTTGGACACTCTAAGTCCCAGCAGTCTTGAAACTGTCAGCAAACGACCAACGGAAGTAAAACTGAAAGAACTTATCCCAAACTTGCAGATTGCAGGGGTCATCAGAACGAGCGATCAAAACACCATGAGTCCAGTGTCTTTACTTCACAAAATGTGGACCAATGAACAGAAAGTGCGTCCTTCCCCTTCGACAATCAGGACGTGGATATCCACGAAAGCTATTTGCGGAGATTCCTTCTGGAAGATCCTGGCTTGAGGCTTCAGCCTTCATTGTCATCAGTTATTGAATTCGCCACTTAGTTTACCAAAGTATGTCTGAGGACTTTAGACAGTTGCTTCATCATGCTCCATCTTGTTTCTCAGCAAAGCCCTTGAGATTCACAGCAGCAACTCCTAATCTGGTCAACCTAAAGTATCAGAATCTTCGCCTCAGCCAGCTGTTTGTGTGGGAGGCGGCCAAATCCAAGGGGACACCTATGTGCACGTTAACGTATTCGGACATGCACCGTGTCTGGGCATTCTGTTGTGAGCGTTTCGCCTCAAGTTATTCAAGCAATTTGAGGCGCTTCAATAATATGGCCATTGCCGAGTCTAAATCTTTTGAGACTTGGGGCCAACCCAAACAGCCTTCCCTGGATAGCTCTTTCAGTTCGCCAGCGTTGTGGCACATGTTTGGGCTGTCTTTTCTCATGGTCCCGCAACTCAACCGACTATCGGCCACTACGACAGCTTATATTCTAGTGCGAGCCGTTTGGTAGAGTTGTCTGCTCTGTCGATCTCCAATAAATTCCAATCATGCCATGACATCCACTAGTCAGATTGCCATGCAGCAAGATCAGCATGCTTGACGTGCAACTGCAGCACACAAAATAGACATGCACGTCTTCCACAAGAACATGCGATAACATATATCATATGTATCCTAGTGTCTCCTCAACTCCCTACACGGCCTGGGTGAGGCTGTAGCGCTGGGCATCGAGTTCTCGAGAGCCCCTCATCTGAATGGGCAGAGATCTTTTCAACGGAAGGCAAAGTTTTATTTTTGTTTTTTTTCGCCTGTCTGTCAGAGAGACTTCTTTAACAATTCCTTCAGTTAAACCCTACCCTAATGTTGAGTGAGATTCAGCTTCAACATTTTGTCCAGTTGCATGACAAGTTACTTGAGGCGCTTGCGACATGGCCAAGAACACTCCGTTGAAAAGGAGAAGCCAACGCAGGTCCTGCCTGGACTATCTAGGCCGCACCTGGACAGAACAGCTGCAAAAGCTTCTCCGCTACAAGAAAGTGCACTATTTGCTTGTCTTGACACTGCATTCATGTTGAAAACAGAATGATTTGTGGTAAGCAAGCATGACTCGGATTTTGCACAATGCACCTCTTTGAACGGAACTTGATTGTCGGTCTCTTCGCGACAATCCACCAGGAGAACAATATTTATATAGCACCGCACCAGCCGTCAGCGCCTTGTAAGCATCTGCTTCTGGACGCACGTCCAAGTTGTATGTGCCGTTGTGTTTGTTGAATTGGTCCTGAGGCGAAACAAACATGCTCATTAACTCGGTGAATGCAACTGCCTTCCGCCGCCTAGCTTACCCTCTTGCTGGAAAGCCAATAACTTCTAAAGTTCTATCAGCTCCTGGTCGCATGGGTCTTAGAAAAGCATAATTATTATGGCCACTCAATTCCTCTATGTTCCTCCTGTCTCACCCACGTTTCTTCCTCGGCCAACGGCAAACGAGCGCCGATGAGCCCACTCCGATGAGCCGAGCCGACACGAGTCGAGCTCCGACGGTTTCGCTGAGGCCAGGTCGATATGAGCTTCAATCCAGCGGCCCGCAGTAGCACCTGAGCAGCGGAGGGTCAAAACCGTTCAGATGGAACAAGGAACTGCCCGGTTACCAAGGGGTGGCCAAAGGGCTTGCCAAAGGGGGTGTCGTGGTAACTATGAGTGAAATCCAGTAAATCACAATGGTACCGAAAACAAGTCACTTGCCCTACGGGAACCTTCATTGGAAATGCCTGCAAGACTCAATACATCAATACCAAACAGTGCAAATTCGGATTCCGCGTGTTCCACCTGGGGCGTGTGATTGATGGATAAACCGTCAAAAGATTCATAAGCTTTGTTGTACCCAGATCCAGAGTCCAGTATCAATTCTGGACAAGGTCATGCGGCGCTGGCAACTTCCTAGTCGCTACAGTAGCCACCACAAGTCTGAGAGCCCCAACTGTGGTACATGACCTGCGTGCCCTTCGGCCAAGCCATCCTCAAATGTCCAAATGGATCCTACGTCACGGCCACGTCATGACCATGTCACTGGCGATTCGATCTCAAGATGGATCCTATGTGCCCAACGTCTCGTTGTCTTTCGGTGCACGTAGCGACTGCAGGCAAGAACACATCTCTGACGAAAAGGGCGACGAAAAGGGCGATCGGAAAGCATTTGGGTAAACATGCGAGTCACGCATAGGTTCAATCGTTTTCAAACAGTTTACAAATGTTCACAACATCCGCCGATGTGTAGAAAATCCTGAGGCCATACAAGTTGCTGTCATGATGACAAAGGAGAGTTCATGATCTGACTGAAACCATATTGCATTGCATATTGAAGCTGGAGCAAATGGATCTCATTGAATTTCAACTTGGCCTCCATCTTCGTTTCAGTAGTCACTCCACCTGTGACCAAGGCAGGGTTGTGTCTACGGGGCACCTTTAGTTCGCAAAAAATGCATGTCAGTTTCTTCAAAACCAAGGGACTCTCACCGTGTTGGATGCAAATGGTGCAAAAAAAAATCACATTGTATATTTGCATTGCCTTAGGCAACTCCTTCAAGAGATCTGAGTCAGCTCTAGCTGATCAGGACTGAATCTTCTAGCGTTTGTGAGAAGCACTTGCCACTGCGAAGGCCCACCGATCGAGATTTCGACCATGCCGCCACGCACGGCCAACACTTGTGCCTAGCTGCACTCATGTTGCATGCTTGTCTGCTCTTGGCTCTACTTGGCTTGAACATAATCTTCAACTGTCACCTTCTGCTGCGTATGGGCTAAATATGCATTTAGAATAGTTTAGTTTAATTTTAACTTAGATATTATATAGATGTACTTATTCGATGATCAAGAATGGATTCTGTCAAAAATCACATTTTAAGGCCAGGTCTCTGAGATCATGCTCAGGAACATGGCACCAAAAGCCTCGCGGCAGTTTCGACAACAGCGACAGTTTGAGCCGCTGAACAACGACTAGGTCCTGTCTTCGACTAGGTGGGCCTTTGGACACCGGATCCCTGTTCGGCCATACACCGCACAGTTCGTTTGGACACGCACCTTCGCCTATCCGCCGGGTTTCAGCCTGGCAGTGACCAGGAATCAGTTCCACATGATCCCATGCCACTCACAGATGCTCACGGCCCTTAGTTACATCTTACCTGTTATATCCTTTTATACAGCTCACTCCCTTGCTCAAAGATCGCCGGAGGTGACGGAAGTCTCGGGCTCTGCAGCGGCCTCCGTCGGTGCAGTATCCGGATGGATACGGATCGCACCCAGACTGAGTCAGCTGACTCCCAAATCAGGAACTACCGGGCAACCCGGGTCAACCTACAACCTACCCAGGCTTGATGTTTTGACATCAAGAGATTCTCTAAAGCAACTAACGAACGGATGCATAGTATGCATGAATTCCAGTCGCACCTCTGTCCGGGTGGCCTCATCGCTAATTTTCCCAGCCTTGGCAGGGGTGCTAGATGGTGCTAATAGCAAAAATGCCTTTTCATTGGTTCACAGAAGCCCATACACCTCAAGGCATCACACAGAACAAGGATGGCCGATGTTTTGATGGTTTTCAGCCGATTCATGCCACCCCAGGCTGCTGGCCTCAACTAGGTTTGAGAATTTGGGATCTGATTTCGAGCCGAAGATCCTGTGATCTTCTCTTTGCATGCACGTTCATGCATGTTCATAGCAAAATATAGCAAAGAACCAAACAAATTATATCTGTTTTCAGTCAATGACAAATTCAAGCATTGTTCTGAAGAGTGCCATGATTGCTGTGTGTTTTTTAAACCCGCAGGCCCAAGCTGCCAATTGACATCGAGGGGCTTCTGTGCCATTGAAGTGCTTTGTGACTCGCTTCTCCATGGCATGCCTGGCACAAAAAGCACCGTGTTGGTGGATAGAGCGACCAACCCGGCAACCACTCTGACTCTGGCATTTGTTGCACAATTGGTTGCCGATTCTTGAACAATAAACAAACCTTCTGAATGTGCCTTGAGCGCATTTCACACATATTTTTTCCAAGGCGCACGACGTTGCATGTGTCTCAGATTTCACCAGATTTCTGTTACACGAGGGGCCAATGTGCTTGAGTTTCAAACACTTTGGCGAGGCATTCTTCATATCGAACCAGGCCGACTCGAGGCAAAGGTTTCAACGGCACTTGGCTCCAATGAAAATCGCCCAGTGAATAGTGCTAACTCCCTCAATTGGGGTCCCGGGATAAAATATATACAAGCTGCAAATATGGGCTGCTAAAGCAAAGATTCTCAAACAAAGCAAACTGGGCAGTACTTGTTCTCCTGATTCTCATTCTCTCTCTCTCTCTCTTTTCTCCATCTCCTGCCTGCATGCCTCCATGCCATTTCAGAGATGTCATTCCAATTGTCTAAATTTTTCAAGGTGTCAGTTAGCTGCAACTGTTGTAGTTACGGGTCTCCTTTGAGACTGTCAGATCCTTCTTGGTAAAGGAGATGTGTGTTTGGTTCGTGAAAAAGACGTGGCAGAAAAGAACCGAGACTGAAGCCAAGATCGTTGAAACCTTTCCTAATCCATCTGTTGAGTCAAGGCCCAGCGCATACTCCGTCTAATATGGTCAGTTGTGACCACCACCGGAAGTTCAACGCGTCATCTCCCCAGGAAGGCGTGTCTTGAACCTGGCACTGCTTGACTTACCATCACTCGCTTCGACCATCCTCTTAATAAGCTCTGCTGTAGAATATGGCATACAAGTTTCTATAAGATTCTATAAGGATAGTTCAGAGATTCATGATTTATATGCAAACAAAGAACGACTGGTTATGCAGGACCAGGAACAAGTCACAATTGACATGCGAGTGTCTGCAGTTAGTGATATAGACCAAACCGACCCAGGTACTGTCTAAACCTGGGCGCAGCAAACTCATTGTAAAGGTTATACAGTCTAGTTTACAATTTACAGTTTAAAGTTTACAGTTTATCGTCTCCACTCCGGTGAAGCTCCCAAACATCTTTCGCCAGCTCCACGGATCTGAATCCCAATAGTTCATAGGCGCATATCCATACGGAGGCCCACGGCGCCCCAGCAGCGAGGGTAGCTCGGACCTGAGAAGTGAAACTGGCTTAGCTTTGGCAAATCTCTACAAAACAGAGGAAGTGACACATTAAGGTACGTAGAATGATCATCATCTTGATCCCCTTCTGACGAATTGCTCTTCTTGATAAGTGAGGCTCTAAGCTCCTTGCGGTCCCTGGGGAGGAGGCGGCGGTGGAGGTGGCAAAGGCATGAGGCCTCAACCAGGACTGACACTGGGCTCAAAATGAGCGGTCAACAAATCATAATCAAACCTAAACCAAATGAATCTGCTTTCTTTCATGTTGCACCATCTCCCACTGAATTTTGGCCTGGTCGACTGTGCCGAACAGAGGGTCGCTGCGGTCGGTGCTCCACACGGCTTTGGCTCTGGCGCCTCACCTGGGGGTCGGCAGGGCAGTTAGTACGAGTATAATATATATATATGTATGTATATGTACCTTTATATGCCATTCATGTCCACTTAGTCATTTTGAACTCTTCTCCCAAAGAACATCTTTTCCAAACTATGGCGGACATAAGCCAGAGACATCCAGGGACAGTGGCTTTTGCAGGATTCCAGGTTGTCACTTGCGGAGTGGGAATGTTGTCTTTAAACATACTGAACGATACCTACACAAGATCCACTTCCTGCAGAGGGCCGCTAAGCTGTACAAGGAGACCCTTCACCGCACTCTCTGCACCTGGTGATCCCATGCTGCAGGAAGCCTGGTCCTGATGCTGTCAATTGAACACCTGTGACGCCTCTTCGAGTCACGTCCAAATGTCTCCTCGAGCGTCCTTGCTACTAGTAGCTTCTTGTTATATACTAGTCACGTCAACTAAACACAGTCTTCTCGAAGTAGCAGGCCCGGCTAGACTTGAGAACCCTCTCCTGTCATCCGGCACCACCACATCATGCAAACGTCCTGCACCTTCACAGGTGACAACATATGACGAGGATAAATCAGTTCCGCATGCGCATGTCGGGAAGCCCAATATTGGTGAGTCTTTGGAATGCAAAAAGCATTTCTGCACCTGATCAACAAGCTTCTGCCACAATCAAATTGTCAATGCATGCCATTCTTGAGCTTAGCCTCCTAGCTGCCCTTGCAAGTTGAAGACAGTGCGAAAGTCATTCCGGTAGCTGTCAGGGTTTGCTGTTTACGCTATCCAAAGATCAAACAAAGTAAACCTGGCATGCACATTTGATCGCCAACATCCGAATTTGCTGTAAAAAATTGAACACAATACAGTGCAGAAAAAAATTGAAAACAATACAGTGCAGCAAACAAAAACATTGTCTACTAGACATCGACCAGGACCATTACATGCACATGACCAGGGACACTGGGGGAAGAAGGAGAGGACAAAAACAGTGGTTACCACGAAGGTGTAATTAGTGGTACCACCGAGGGAGGAGGTTTGATCTGCGACAAAACTTCGTCTCAAATCATTTACGGGCACCAAACATGCCCAAGCGAAGCCGCCTGCATGCAATTGCGTTGTTGTGGTCTGAGACTGGCCAGGCTGCTGATGATGTGATGAAGAATCAATGTCAACAAAAAAGCAAAAACAGCAAACTTCTGTGCATGCTGATAAACAAAGAAAAGAAACAAGTCTTGAACAACTGTTTAAAACCATGCCAATCGCCAATCATTGCCAATCTATGCTTTCATGAGTCCGCGGGGCTTTCATAAGTCGACTCCGTGTATCTCCGTATTACACGTTGCGTTCGTTGTGACCTGCGCCGTCTCGTTGTTGCGACAAGGGAGCCATGATGAGAGTGAAGCCAGGCCGTTGCCCAAGGCACTGAAGGCCTGGCGTGTCGAAGCCTGGGCTGAAGCCTTCCGCAGCCTTGAGACGTAGAAATCCAGGTAGAGGGAAACGGGAGCATGGAATCGCAACATGGAATCGCAGCATCGGATGAATGTCGCTGGTTGACCTCTAGTAGGGAAATCCCGACAAAAAGAACCTGCTTGATGACCAATTGGCCCCTATTTAGACGGTGTGCCAAGATCGCCACTGCACTTCCCCATGCGAATCGCCCGTTTGAGGCCAGAAAGGCGAGAATCGAGAATTCCGTTGAATCGAATGCCAAATGGGCCGGACTGCGTTAAACTCGAGGATGGTTTCCCACCTGCGAAGTGGAATGATAGGCATTGATCATCCACATGTTGTTATTCAGCATCTGCTGATTCGCCTCCTGTCACAAGTATTTGCAATAAAGGTCCAAGCAATCTTTTGTCACCGTATGCAACTTGCAAAGCTCCGTCCTGATCCCCACACTTGCAACGAAACCAGGAGATTGGCAACTTTACAACGCAATTCACACCTCAATGAGCAGCACAATTCTTTTGCTACCTGACACTACATCTGCCGGCTTGGTTGTCAACAAACATAGTCACAGTACAATACAAAAACTGACGATTACTGGCTCAGGTGCTTCTATTCAAATTGACGTGGTAAGCCAACCCATACTCCCTAGGTCTCCCTAACAAGATCAGGTGTACTGTAAGATTGTCACCACCTGAGCGCACCACACACGGCCGTTGAGCACTTTGGGCAGCGGTGGTCCAAGAATGACCCCAGTTCCTTCATTCGGAGCGCAGTGAATCGGATTGAGACTCTGTGTCAATGTAGCCTCCAACCTAAGAGCGATGGCCTCCAACCGAACCTAATAGCAATGAATGTGTTGAACGGCGATCGCGAGAACTTCCGCCGTCGGCAACGCCTTGCGGCACCGGACACATGTCTCTGTCTTGTTGGGCGTGGGGCAGGTGCCCTGGCACGGTTCTGAGCACTTGACTGATTAAATCTGATTAACGAATAAATATTATATAGTGGAACAATAAGCTACTAGGTGGAGGCCATCGCTATTAGGTTGGAGGCCAATTACTACTAGTAACAATAAGCTACTAGTAACAAGTGGAATGAAGAATATTGTATTAAAACAAAAACTTCCATGGGAATCGTTTCACCTGTAGTAACTGTAACAAAAAATGTTTTAGTATGTCTTTGAAGCTTCTTACTAACAATAATGCTTTCTAGTAACTATATAGTGGAACCCTTCATCTGGAGATGTCTGACCATCCAGGTAGGGTGGTGATAAAAGCTTCAACAACATCACTTCTTTCGCTCGCGAAAGCTGCTCCTGTCGGCATCCAACTCCCCACATCCCACACCTCAGAGACATTCAGATTGAACTTGCATGTTACAAGATGTTACAAGTACAGTAGATAGATGTTCAACCTACTAACGAAAGAATGCCAACAACCATGAACAAAAAAACACATGCACCTCTCGTAAGCCAAACTCTTTCCAGGTCAAGCAAGGCAAACAAACTGTTGGCCCCGCACCACTCGTGTTGTTCAACGGGACCCTCCTGGTCAAATTCTGCTTGCTCACCAAAAAATCCAAACCAATCGAGCTGTTCAACAGAGTGCTCTTGCAAAGAAATAAAGTACTAGAGCAGCAGCTGCAAATGATTCATCAACTTTTCCAGAAATATCTCACAACACACAACTGCAACAAGCAACAATCACTGATAACTTATCATTCATCCGCGTCAATGTCCTCAATAATGTGGTTTGTGTGCTCGGAAAGCACTGGAACAGTAGAGATCTGGGACTCCTGCAACTGAGACAGGTCATCTCTTGGAAAATCAGTAGACACCCTACAAAAATCATCAAACATCTACATCTACAAAACAGGAAAAGTAGGGCAGTGAACAACGCTGAGAGCTGTGAGGTCAATGGTAGAACATCGAGGTCCAAAACATCGCAGGAATAGTGCGTGAACTATCCTGCGTCCTAGCCAGT